TTCTTCTTCTTCTTCTTCTTCTTCTTCTTCTTCTTCTTCTTCTTCTTCTTCTTCTTCTTCTTCTTCTTCTTCTGCTTCTGCTTCTGCTTCTTTTTGAAGCAGGATTTCTCTGTGTAGCCTTAGCTGTCCTGGATTGGCTTTGTAGACCAGGTTGGTCTCAAACTCACAACCTGCATCTGTCTCCCCAGTGCTGGGATTACAGACATTTGCCACCACGCCCGGCTTTGTATCCTTTCTTAAACAAAACTGTATATTGCTAGTTCCAGGACATATAATACAAATAATCAAATCAGGTGAAAAAAATCATTCCCACATACAGTAATGCAAAAGAGCTTACAAATATGTCATGCAACTGGCTAAGAAAGTATATTGAAGACTTCTTTGTAATCAATTGCCTTTTATTTACAGACAGACAATATTGTCAAACAACTGTTGCTTTCTGTCAATTAGTGTTTTAAAACAATGAGGAATGTTTAAGATAGAGGTCTTGATACCAGGCAAATAATTCCCTTTCTTCTTTATCCAGTTTTGAGTCTGTTATGGGTTCTTCAATTGCCACAATTTCAAAAGATGGAGAATAGAAGATGACCTTCTTTTCTTTTGCTTGTAATATGTCTGCTTGTGCTCCCTAGGTGGAATTACAAATACAAGTACAGTGTTTTTATTCTTTATTTTTACTTAGCTTCACCCTCCGAAAATTTATAGCAGAATTAAGGATACTTTTAGTCTATTTATTTGCGCACGTGTGTGTGTGTGTGTGTGTGTGTGTGTGTGTGTGTGTGTGTGTGTGTGTGAAACATGTAAGTGCCATGGCACAAGTGTGAAGGTCAGAGACAATGTTTTGGAGTTGGCTCTCTCCTTTTACCATGTGAAGTCTGGGGATCAAACTCAGGTTATTAGGTTTGGCAGCAAGTGCCATTCCTTGCTGAGTATTTCAGCAGCCCAGCAGAATTTTTTAAAAAAAATTACAAAGTAGTACATCAAAACATGTTCATCAGAAATATCCCTACAATGTGTAAGTATGGAGGCAGATTTTACATAGCACAGCTTTTCGTGGTTAAATAGAACTTCATAGCACCAGCTACTCAGGAGGCTGAAACAAGACTCTAACTTGAGGCAACACAGAAAGACAACATGTCTCAAAAATGACAGTGGTAGGCATAGAGTTGAGTGGCTCAATACTTGGGAGGCTCTGTAAGAATTCTGTTCTCTAAAAAGTTGTAACCTTTGTTTTGATTTTATCTTTAAGGGTGTTTGGTCTGCATGTGTGTCTGTGCTTTATGGGTGTTTCGTCTGCATGTGTGTCTCTGTTCCATGTGCATGCAGTGCCCTTGGAGGCCACAATGAGGTGTCAAATCACATGGGACTGTAGCCAAAGATAGCTGTGGCAAAGATAGGGTGGCACACACTTTTAATCTCAGCAGAGGCAGGTGGATCTCTGAATTCGAAGCCAGCCTAGTTTACACAGATTTCCAAGCCAGCTAGGGATACATAGTGAAACCCTGTGTAAAAAAAAAAAAAAAATAGCATCTGGACGCAGTGGCGCACGCTTGTAATCCCAGCACTCAGGGAGGCAGAGGCAGGCTGAGCTCTGAGTTCCAGGCCAGCCTGGTTTACAAAGTGAGTCCAGGACAGACAAGGCTACACAGAGAAACCCTGTCTCAAAAAACAAAGCCCCTCCCTCCAAAAAAAACAAACAAAAAATTTTATAGCAATAAAAGAATTACCAGGATGAAAGTAGCTTCATACTACCCAGGTATGGTATGCCAAAGGTGTTTCACATTTGAACTTGCACTTCCTTGTACAAATAAAATTACTTATAGGAAAGTTGAAAATTGGCCAAAATAACAAATGAGTTCACTGCTTGTTAAACTTGAAGTTACCTTGGAGGGAGCCTTTTCTTCTTTAGCGGACATATAGGCTTGTTTCATTTTTTCAACTTTCTTTTTTGCTCGCTTGGATCGACGGCCCAGATGTTTTATTTTACCTTGCTCTTCCCAGGGCTGGTAAAAAGGAGCAACAGTTGTAATGGGTGGACACCTAGACAACATTTGTATTATAAAAAAAAAATAAAAACAAAATAAGATTTAAATGTGAAGCAAACTGTAAAGTGTAACACATTCTCTAGCATTATACACTGCATGTCAGTTTTTAGGTTAAAGCCATCATTTCTGTGAAGTTACATAGCATCGTACCTTTTTTTTTTTTTTTTTTTTTTTTGAGACAGGGTTTTTTGGAACTCACTCTGTAGACCAGGCTAACTTGGAACTCAGGGATCTGCTTGCCTCTGCCTCCCAAGTACTGGGAGCACACCACCACTTGGCATAACGTTGTTCTTCACCTGGCGCTTGTGGAGGTGTGTGTATAGGTGATGATGATGTTGACAACAATGGTAAAAGCTGCTATCAATTCAAAATAAGCCTTCCTAGAAAACACTGTGTAGTGGCCATTTGAAAAAAAATTTTTTGAGACATGGTTTCACTATATTGCCCAGGCTGGCTTCAATCTCACAGAGGCAAGCATTCAGCATGAATTTTTTTTTTTGAAAAAAAAAAATAAAATCTTTATTGACATTCTTTGAGGGAAAATACAATATTCAACATTTAAGCTGAAGCAAGATAGGTAAAGGAAATACAGATTTGAAGCAATTATACAGACAAAGTCAGCCAAGAAAATTGACTATGAGAGAGGGCATCTTGTCTGCTGCCGTGCCAGCCTGATTGGCAGGAAGGGTTTCTTTTGCCTCTGCTTCTACTCATTCACACTGCGCAGGCATGATGGAAAGAATGCCTACACACACAAGTCACCTTTGTCTCAAATGTTCAGCATGAATTTTTAAACACCATAACTAACACCAGAATTGACATTTTATAACAGTTGAAAAGGCAAGTTTGTTTTATTTGGTACAGGGTTTCTCTGTGTATCCTGGCTGTCCTGGAGCTTGTTCTGTAGACTAGGCTTGTCCTTGAACTCAGAGATCTGCCTGCCTCTGCCTCCCAAGTGCTGAGATGAAAGGTGTGTGCCACCATGCCTGGCTCACCTGCCTGACTATTTACATGGACTCTGGGCATCTGAACTCTGGTCAGCAAGCACTTTGTTCCCTGAGCCATCCCTCCAGCATACTGAAGCTATTATATTAAATCAGTGCTAAGATCAGATACAGCTGACAGCATGCACTCAGTCTCCTTGGCTTTACCTGTTCCAGAGCAGGTCAGCCTACTATCCACCTTCTTTCATCCATCCTTAGAACTGTCTTTCAGAACAAGAGTCCACATGCAGAGAAGGTTAAAAGCATCTATGAATAGTGCCTCTGCTGGCCAACACTTAACCAATGGCTTCTGGGTATTAGTGTACCCTGTGTTTCATGTTGTACACTGGCTCTAACATTCTCAAGAAGGATGAAACTTCAGGTAGCTCCAGTGGTAACTGGTTTGCTAACATGCAGTCTGGGCTGTCCTTTCTATTTCATTGCTCTACCCCCTCAGTGGGTCCTGGGATCACCTTCTGAATAAACTGCTCCTGGGATCTGGAGATCCCAGAATAGGACTTTTCCAAAGATGCTCTTATGAAAATATTTTTCTTCAGTTGGTTTAAAGTTTGGCTAGCTGTTTGGCTCCTAAATGACTCATTCTTGGATAATCAGTAGCATGAATCCAAATAGCTGGGAGTTCAAGGTTATATATGGCAGGGGGCATAATGATATAATTTATTTTACCTTGGTGGTAATAGGGTTAAGTTCTATATTCAATGCTCATATGTATGAGTTAGAGAAAATATATTTCATGTTGACAGACTGTGCCTTGAACCAGGCTATCTGTCTGGAAAGTGCACAGCCTTGACTGTAAAATAAAGGAGTTAAAATTATGTTGTTGGCTCAGCACCTTTCATCTCCACTTCTGAGAATCTCCAATATGTCTGCTTGCCAGTGTCTTCTTTGTAGTCTAAAGGAATATTTCTCATTGCAAGTATACGTGTGAAAATATATTACCAACAAGTCCTATTCAGCCTTATTGCTACTTTCTTTTTCTTAATAAAGGCAGATTAGTAAATAAATAAATAAGATGTGCTGGGTGAATCTTAGTAATGGAAATTAAAATATATCTAATTGGAACAATCATATTCTGTCCTTGTCACTTCAAACCTTAATACATGTATTTTGCTACAACATGGTTTTCCAAAATACAAATTGGTTTGCTTGTTATTGGTAAAAAAGGTAAAAATGCCACTGTAATTTATATGCAATTGATCCTAGGCAACGGGAGCCAGGAAAGTGACAGTACAATTAAGGAAGAAAACATCCTTCAGTTCTATATTGCAGGGGCAATGGCTGTCTTTATGAAAATAAAACATATGAACAGACGCAGGCTCCTCTCTCCAGAGAGGACCACTCAGCCCCTCTCACTCTACTGTGCCCCACCACTTCCTGACGTAGGCTCCCTCTTACACATTGCCAGCCTGCACTGCATCTTATGTTCTCTTGAAATACAGCCATGCTGGCCTAAGGCTCTGTTTCTGTCAGCACCCTCTCAGCGTCTGCCGCCTGCTCTAATGAAAGAGTCACTTCTTTACTACCGTACTGTTTTCACATTTGTCAGGGCAGCCTCTTGCTAGCGTGAGGTGCCTGCATGGTGGTACAAATCAGCACCTCAGTACCTCTTAGTTTGTGTTCTACTTACAAGGTTGTATATGTTTGGTACAGTCTTCCCCAATTCAGGTTTCCCCAAATGCCTTATGATTATTTTTAGTGGACTGTGTATCAGAAAGGGAATCTTTTTAGGAATGCTATTAGTGTTGTAAGCTCAAGAAAAATGGTCTTTTACCTAACTCTAGAAACAATCTCTAGCTGGTGCTGACTCATCTCTTCTGTTTGTGGTTTCTGTAACAAATACTTTTTTTCTTTTTGTAAACGGGTTGAGATTACTCCAGACTCTGCATATTCAACTATGTCGTACATCATCATTGTCTTGGGGATGCTTTTGAGATTTAATCTTCGCCAGCAGTTATTCTTGCCACCAGAAGATGCAGGGATCTCGTCCATAAGACTGCAGTACTATATGAAAAAAAAATGCAGAATGATCAGTGGTTGGTGCTCATCTCCAAACTCTATCGACATCTCTCTCCTATGACTTTCAATCCGACTAGATGTTTCTGTTATCTATGTTCATCTTAACTCCCTTACTGGAAAGCAGGACCCATGCCGTGCAGTTTCAGTGCCACACTCACTAAATGTTTAGCTAATGCATAAACACTGGCACACATTATTTTATAAATGATGAGTTAATCTCTGGTGCTAACTGGAATTTCGTTATCTTCATTTGTAATATTTGTAGGAAACTTGTTTTACTTTTTTTCTAATTTAAAATGATATCAAGTAAGCAATTTCAAAACACACTTTAAAGATTCGGTTTAACATTATAAATGTGTGTTTGAGAGAAAAGCTTAGGGGATGAAAAGCTACAGTGCTAGGAATGAGGACTTTTGGGTCTATGACGTACTCTCAAACTTTCATGTGCACCTACTTTCACGTGCACTCGAGTGCGCACATACACACAAACATGCATATATACCCCATTTTGTCATGCAGAAATGTCAGTTGCCACCATTTTGTTGAGTAGCACCAATCTCTCAAGAAGAGACAGCCAATTCCAGTTTTCACAGTATAACTGCAAGCCTTTGCATGAAGCATAGACGCTGCAGCTAGATCTTCAATTCATAAATGAAGTGGCACTGGCAAAAAAATCTTCATATTATCAGAAATCATATTTTGCAACGTATAAAATACGAAGTCTAAAGTGTTAGCAATTGATTCAAACTTAGGGGTGTGACAGCTGAAGTTTCTATTATAAGAGAGCTTTTAATGTTTGCTTTTACATTAGTTTCGAGACTGGATGTTGCTATGTAACTCAGGGCTGCTTGGAGCTCACTGTGTAATGGAGGCTGACCTCAAACTTGCAATCTTCTTTGCCTTAACTTTCTGATTGATGAGTTTACGCCAGCACTTTCAGCTGTTTTCAATGTGCCAACTGATTTTTCTCCATTGATTATGAAATTTGCTTTGTATGTGGTTGGGGACATATCTTAGGGGTAGAGTGCTTGCCTATCATGCAAAGGAACCTGGGTTCAAGCTCTGGTGCTGAACAAAAACAAACAACTGATCCAGACACATTGGAATGCAGACAGCAAAGAGTGGTGGTACAAGACTAATTCCTGCACATGAAATATGGTAAATGAAGGATTAGGAGTTCAAGGTCATTCTTTTGCTATATAGACAATTTGAGGTCAGCCTGAGCTTCATGAGATTTTGTCTCAAAACAACAAAAATTGTGAAATGTGCTCTCCATAGTTTCAGTTCATATCACTAGTTCTTTAATCCCACACTCCCATCCCCGTAAGTGAGAATGCCTCCTTTATTGGCTAGTTTTGTGTCAACTTAATACAAGCTGGAATCATCAGAGAGAAAGGAGCCTCAGTTGAGGAACTGCCTCCATGAGATCAGCTGTGAGGCATTTTCTCAATTACTGATCAATGGGCCTAGCCCACTGTAGGTGGTGCCACCCCAGGGCTGATGGTCCTGGGTTCTATGAAAAAGAAGGCTGAGTAAGCCATGAGGGAACAAGCCAGTAAGCAGCATACATCCATGGCCTCTGTATCAGCTCCTGCCTTCAGGATCCTGCCCTGCTTAAGTTCCTGTCCTGACTTCCTCCAATGATGGATTGTGATCTGGAAGCGTAAGCCAAATAAACACTTGATTTTTGGTTGTGGTGTTTTATCGAAGTAATAACACCTGACTAAGACAGCCTGTCTATTTAATTTCCCCAGAGTGGAGCATACAGTCATCAAACGTCTCAGACCTGGTCATTGATCTACTCTGCCACTCATTCACTGAATGATTTTGGGTGAGTTTTTTGCACCTTGTTAAAGCTTCATTTTTCTTATCCATAAAGAGGGTTTCAGGATTTATAAACTCGAAAGAAAATGATATACCTGCAAAGATTTTTTTAAACATCATTCACTTTCATAAGTAATCTTATCTCTCTTTTCCAGTGTAAATATTTGGGGCCTCCTCTCTATGACCTCAGTCTTAGATATATTTGCAACCTGTGAGTTTGTAATTCATGTTCTTAGTAAAGATAGTTGGTATTCCCAGTTTTATATTCTGATCTAATCCCCTAGTCTCATAGGCTAAATCTCTAAGAGAAAGAAAACACAATCAAGAGTCTTTAAGGCTCTGCATTAACTTTGTATGTCCAAGAGAGGCACACAAATGAAGAAGCTGAAGTCACATATATTATTACATTAGGAATCAGAATAGTGGCAATTTTGATTGACTGCCTCTGTGGACTGTTAAGAGAAAAATGGGAGGGAGTGTTATAGAAGCATTTATTATTCTTGTTCTTATTTGGGTATGGGCCTTAAGTACCCCAGTTCAGCACTTCTCTGTCTAGCTATGCAAATTAGAAATTCAGGAGTTATGGCAGACAAATTCCTTCAACTTCTGTCCTTGTCTGTCACCCAGGCCCACTACCCTTACTCTGTGTCTTGCATCTGTAGAAACACAGCCTTAAAACGATCAACCAACAGTTCCCTTAGTATATCAAGAGACTTTGAACAGAACTCTCATTGCTTTCTAATTCTTTCTGTATCCTGAAACCAGAGATAGCTCTTCATTTATTAGCTTAAAATTTTATTTTATTCATTTAGAGAGAGAGAAAGAGAGAGAGAGAGAGAGAGAACATGAGAGCATTTGTATAAAGTCAGACATCAGAAGACATCTTTGTAGACTTGGTTTTCTCCCCTTCTACCATGTGGGTCCTGAGGATCAAACTCAGGAGCTTGGTATTAAATACTTTTACCTACTGGGCCATCTTGCCAGTCTCAAATTGGTAAGTTTTTTTCTTTTTTTTTTAAAGATTTTAATTTTTATTATCTCTCCCTTCCCACTGTCCCTCTGTGTGTGTGTGTGTGTGTGTGTGTGTGTGTGTGTGTGTGTGTGTATACATGTATGCATGTGTATGCTGTACCCTCACAGGTCAGAAGAGGGCATTGGATCCTCTGAGGCTAGTGTTATAGGTGATTGTAAACTGATGTGGGTACTGGGAACTGAACTCAGCTCTTCTGGAAGGACAGCTGGCACTCTTAATCTTAGAGCCATCTTTATAGCTCCCCAAATGTTAAAAATTACGGGTTTTTTTTTTTTGAGACAGGGTTTCTCTGTGCTACCTTGGCTGTCTTGTCCTTGCTTTGTAGACCAGCCTGGCCTTGAACACACAGAGGTCCTCCTGTCTCTGTGCTGAGATTACAGGCATGTCCCACCACACCTAGCTATGTTGTATGTATTTTACCATGATTTTTTAAAAAGTATGATTCTTTCTTATTGGAGGAGAGGGTCAGGAAAACTTTTTATTTGATTTTTCAAGATCTACATATAAATTTCTTACTTGAATATAATCTTTTACTGTGACAACATCCATACGATCGGCTACTTTGAACTTTTGGGAAAAATGCTCATCTTCCAAAATTTGTTGAGAAAATGTCCTTTTCCCCATTATCTTATAAGAATCAGCCACTGCCTATAAAGAAAGTAGATTTTCAGAATAACATATTTTTAATCATTGGCATGTATTTTATATATTTTCTGACAAATGTAACAAAAATCATTACTAACTTTTATAATCTTGCTATTAATAGAAAATCATATAGCTGTTTTTTTTGTGGGGGGGTGATGAAGGAGTTAAAATAAGGTCTCACTCTGTAGCCCAGGTTGGCCAGGAACTTAGTAGTAAGCCTCTTGCTTCAGATCCCTAAATGCTGGGGCTACAGGCATGAGCCACCAGGCCCAGCTATATAGGGGTTTGTTTTGAGATAGGGTCTCATGTAATCCAGGTTGGCCTTAAACTTGATGTATAGTCAAGGATAAACTTAAAGTGTTTGTCTTCTTGCTTGTACCTCCTAAGTGCTGGGATTATAGGCATGGACTTCCATGTCTGGCTTATATAGGGATTTTTAGACCATTTGATATTTGTTCCCATAGCCACTGATGCATAGTTTAAAAATAACTACAGGTATAGTCAACAGCTCCCAAGGGACCATAAATTTTTATTTTTTAAAAAATATTTTAATTTTTACTGGAAAGATGGTTCAGCAATTAATAGCCCTCATTGCTCTTTCAGAGCATTCACATGGTAGCTCACAACCACCTATTCCAGGGGAATATGGTGCCCTCTTCTGGTCTTTATGGGAACTGCACACATATGGTACACACATACATGCAGGCAATATACCAGTACAACATAAAAAATGTTTTTAAATCTTAAAAAATATTTTTATATTTTATTATATATATGAATTTGTACATGTGAATACCATGTCCAAGGAGGCAAGAAAAGGGCATCAGATCTTCTGGAGTTGGAGCTGCAGTCAATTTTAAGCTGCCTGATGTGGCTGCTATGAACGGAACTAGTGTCTTTCACAAGAATGGTATGTGCTCTTAACTACTAAGTGTTCTCTCCAGCCTGGACCATAGCTTATAATATTTTAAAAAATATTTATATTTTATGCACATTGGTGTTTTGCCTGCAAGTATGTCTGTGTGATGGTGTTGGATTCCCTGGAACTGGAATTATAAACAGTTGTGAGCTGTCATGTGGGTGCTGGGAATTGAACTTGTGTTCTCTGCAAGAGCAGTCAGTGCTGTCAATTGCTAAACTATTTCTCCAGCCCCAAGATTTTTTCTTTTTAAATATGTTCTTTTCATTTAAATGAAAACAAAAGAACACCATGATCTCATTTGTGCTGTCTGGTGATTAAGGAGGGTGCCCTAGGAACTAGAATGGAATATGTTTCTGGAACTGATACTTTTCTGTTTGTTAACTCATTGCCTCTAAATGGAAATGTAGATGTGTCAAGTTGCTTATACTTCCCTTTCCTCTAGACTTCATTCTCAGTAGCCAAAGAAAAGCAAATAAAGGATTTTTCCTTCTCTCTAAAATGTCAACAGTTTTCATTCAAAGAAAGTGTCTGAGAGACCAGTGAGAGAAAAATCACAGAAAATAGAGGCGCATATTCTTTGTCTTGGCTCTAGTCACACTGAATCCTCTCACATATATCCATCCTTCTGATAGTAGCTATACTTACTGGGAGAGACTAAAGTACTCCCACGTTACCATAAGCATGTGCTGAATCTTCTAACATCTATCTATAATATAGATCTGTGCTTCTGGCCACAGAGGGTCTGCTTATGTGGAGGGAGGCTGGCAAAGAAGAAAATTCAAATCTCTTTCTATTCCAGATCATTTCCCCCCCTGTGTATGGCACAATGTGCTATTTGTAAAAGTATGGAAACTCTTTAACACAGAGGAGGCCATAATAAATTGCTCAGGCAGGATAAAAACCCAGAGCTTTTGTTCTTTTTTAAAATACAACACAATAGCTTGCCTTTACATATTTTCTTCTTTAATTCTCATTTTTATTATCCAGAATAGTCATTTTAAATTTTGTTTTGAATTCCAAAGCTTTCATGATGTATATGGAAAATGAAATGGGAAGAAAATATTCCAGTGGTCATATTTTATTCTTAATGCACTGAAGTGAGCAGCTTAATGAAAATATGGGTGGGTTATTTTTGCTTTTTATTTCACCAATTTCTTTGCACATTATGCACCTGAAGAAAAGACGATATTGGTGCATCTCTCTATTATACTTTATTATAATATCCTGTGGGTTGTTTTTTTAAAACAGCTCAACCACACAAAAGGTAAAAACAAATCATTGCAACTGAACAGTTATAAATCCATGTAGTTCCTGCTTTAGGGATTTCTTTAGAAATAATCATATTTTACTTTAGTTTAGATTACCTAAAAATGGTAACAATTATCAGTTCCTCCCTTCCAATGCCCCACTTAGCCACTACCACTGATTTCTCCAAGACCCAGTTTTCCTATTCACATATTGCCGCAGTTTTATTAGGTCTATTCTAACCCTGTGTCCAAAGAAATCCATGCCTAGAAGCCTACTTGTAAGAGGTATATTAGTAATTTTTCTATTGCTGTGAAAAATACCAGGACCAAAAGCAACTTGTGGAATAGTCTGGCTTATAGCTTCAGAAGGTGGGTCCATAATAGAAGGGGAGACATGACAGCAGATGGCCAGAGGAGGAAGCTAAGAGGTCACATCTTCAATAGCAACTGTGAAGCAGGGACCAAGTGTTATGTAAGCTAATTAGGAACATTTTTATTTACACAAACACCAGAGGTATTTGGGGAGAAAAAAACAGTCCTGTCCGATAGTCTAGATGTTCTTTGTCAGACATCACACATAATCAGTTCATTCTTGCTAGAAATTCCCTCTTGTGGAAGTACTGATAAGTGGTATACCCTTGTGTTTGGATTGGAATAATTCATTATATGCAGATACAGAATAAATAAAAGCTCAATACCTGCTGAAATTGCCTCAGCCTTGAAATGTAAGCAGTATGGTAGGAACAGATAAGCATTCAAATCTCAGTTCTGTGCCTCCAAGTCTCTTCAAATTCTAGCTTTTTCACAAAGTGGGAATACTATTTCTCACCATAGTTAACAGAGGGAGGGCCATGTGAGAGAACATGTACTGTATCATCCCTGACCTCAGGAGTGGTTAAAAACATGGACTTTGGTGTCAGTTCCTTTATGTCCTTGTAAGATTTTACGTGAGCTACTTAGTTGTTTTGTTTTTTGAATATGTGATTTTATTTTTATCCATGTGCATTTTCTTTCTCCTCCCAATGATCCCCTTTTACTTCCCCATTAGTCTCCTTTCTACTTTCATACTCATTTCTTAAAAGTGAAGCTACATTAACAAAATATACAGAATAGTTTTATGAGAATTAAGTGAAATAATGCACATTTGAGATTACAGTAGATAAAAACTGATCAAGTAGTGTCAGAGAGGCTGAAGAGATGGTTCAGTTGGTAAGATGCTTGTGCATAAGTGTGAGGACCAGAGTTCTGACCACTATGTAAGAACCGGGTATTATGGCATACATCTGAAACCTCAGTGCTGTAAGACAGAGATGGCCAGATCCCTGAAAATCACGGCTAGCCAGATTAATTAAATTGGTGAGCCTCAGGTTCAATAAGAGATCCTGTCTCAAAAATCAAGATGGAAAAATGAATGAGGACATGCAACCTCCAGCCTTTGTACTCCCCCATCCCAAAGTGATTAAGCAGGACTGACAATATAGCAAGATTGTAAGAGTGCTTACCTAGCATGCATGAGAAGTCCTGGGTTTGATTCTTAGAACTTATATAAAAATCAGATATGCTGTTGTACACCTGTAGCAATAGCATAGGGAAGCAGAAGCAGGAGAATCAGAAGTTCAAGATCAGCTGCATAATGGTTTCAAGGCCAGCCGGTATATATGAGACTTCAGACAGAGAGGGGAAAAGAGCAAGCGAGACAGAGAGGGGAAGAGGGAGAGAGAGAGAGAGAGAGAGAGACAGAGAGACAGAGAGACAGAGAAGGAGGGAGACTTAAGAGAGGGGGAATAATCAAGCAACAGGGGTGGCTATTGTTAATATTTTTCTTATATGAATAAATGGGATAGGGATTTTTCAATATAGAATAACAGTTGCTGTATGTTAACAGTGAAGACTTGTCAATCGGATCCTTTTGTAGCCTGTAAGTGTAATAACTGGGTTTTCACACTATTATGTTAGATATGCCTCCTTTAAACATCCTTTTCATGTAGGCACATTACTGTCTTACATGAAAAAAAAAAAGTATCAGTTACCTAGTGGTGCTCCAGACCATGAAATAGGAAGCCTTTTTAGGAAAGTCCTTCCAAATGATATGGTGTCAAGGATCACCTGAGGGACTTGTTAAAATATAGATTCTGGGCCAGGGGATAGAAGTACCTGGGTCTGAACAGCAGGGCTTCTGCATTTCTTTCTTTCTTTCCTTCCTTCTTTCTTTCTTTCTTTCTTTCTTTCTTTCTTTCTTTCTTTCTTTCTTTCTTTCTTTTCTTTTTCTTTCTTTTTCTTTCTTTCTCTTTCTTTTTTAAAGATATTTTATTCTTTAGTTGTATATGCATATATGCACATGCATGCAGATGCCCAAAGAGGCCAGACAGGTCAAGATTCTCTGAAGCTGGAGTTACAGGTGGTTGTGAGACACATGATAGGGTGCTGAGAACCAAACTTGGGTCCTCTGCAGGAGTAGTGCACACTTTTGATTGTTCAGCCATCTCTCTAGTCTCTGGGTTCTGCATTTTAAAATGGTTCAGTGGATGCTGGTGTGTAGGACTGCACATGCTTTGGGTAGCAAGGCTTTAGTAAATTCTTTGGTGGACCAATAATAATGACAACTGTCTTGTAAATTATCAATACTGAGAAAATATTGTCAAAATGGGAAATGAAATGAGACCACATCCATATGTGTTATTATTCAATAGAATAATCCACCATTATTCTATTGTACTAACACAATGGTTCTCAACTTGGGGGTAGCATGACCCCTTCACAGAGTTTGCCCCAGACCACTGGAACATTACAATTAATAACAGTAGCAAAATCACAGTTATGAAGTGGCAATGAAAATAATTTTATGGTTGGGGTTACCACAATATGAGGAACTGTATTAAAGGGTGGAGGTATCAGGAAGGTTGAGAACCACTGTTCGAGAACCATTTGATCTGCCTTGGCACCTTTGGAGAAATTTTTGATTATATATAGATGTATTTCTATTTTTTCCTGGTGGACTCTTATATCTGTCTTTATGCCCCCATTATACTGTCCTAATTACTATAGCTTTATAGCTTGAAATCAGGTGTTATAAATTATCTAACTTTCCTTATTCCCCCCTCACTTGCTTTTTGTTTTGTTTTGTAAACACATGAGAAATACAGCTGGAAAATGATAAGGAAAGCAACAAGAAATAGAAATATAGAGGGGAATGATGGAGCAAAAATGTGTTAAATTCCTCCTTTATAAGTGAAATTAGAGGGTCTAGAGAGATGTCTCAGCATCTCTCTTGTAAATTATCAATACTGAGATAATAGATTATTAAAGTGGGAAATGAGAACACACCCACCACTATGTTATTGTACTAAAACAATGGTTCTCAACTTGGGGGTCAGGTGACCCCCTCACAGGTGTTGCCCAAGACCACCTGAGCACTGGGTGCTCCTCCAGGGGACCTGGGGTTCAGTTCCCATCACCAACATAGCATCTCACAATGTCTGCAACTCCAGTTCCAGGGGATCCATGCCCTTGTCTGGCTTCCTTAGGCACCAGGCATGCATGTGGTACACAGACATGCAGGCAGAAACATCCTTACACATAACAATAATAAAAATGTTTTGAAAGATAAGTGAACTTAGACTAAACATCCAAACAAAGTAAAACTGACCCACTTATAGAAGAAACAAATGAGGGGCTGGAAAGATGGCTTAGCAGTTAAGAGCACTGATTTCTCTTACAGAGCATATGGGTTTGATTCCCAGAACTCACATAGTGGTTCACAATTGGGTTTGATCCCCAATGCTGCATAAATTGGGTGTTTCAGCACACCTGTAATCTCAGCACTCTATAGGTGGAGGTAGGACAATCAGAAGCTCATGAAGTAAGAGTCATGTGCCTTTAATCCCAGAGCTCTGAAGGGAGAGGCAGGCAGATCTCTGGGAGTTCAAGGCCAAACTGGTCTACATGGTGAATTCCAGGACAGTCAGGGCTGCATAGAAAGACCCTGTTTCAAAGAAACAAACAAATAAACAAACACCAAAACAAAAAAGAAATAAGTAAACAGAAAATCTGGATCAGTTTTCTGAAAAAAAAATTTATTCAAAGAGCAAAAATGTAAGCTTAGAATGAGAAAAAAATCCCACCATTGCAAATTTTCTTTCAACTATGAATTTACATTAGTCGTATTTGTTTTGAAAAGGAATGAAAGGGACAAGGGCAGTCCAAACTGTTCTCTTCAAGTTGGGTATGTTCTGTTCATTAAAAGAACATTATAGTGTCCACTGAAAAAGTCAGGCTGAATAGTATAACATCTTAATAATAAGAACAAACAGAATTATAAAATCTAATTTCATGGAGAAAATGAAGGCAACATAACAAACTATTAGGGCTGAATACTCTATGAGAGTAACAGCTGCAGCATATGAGGGAAAGGCAGAACAGTAAACTTTTTTCTTTGGCATGGTTTCTAGGACTTTAACACTAAAACATATTTTTAAAACATATTTACAACTCATTAAAGGACATCTGTAAGTGATGGTTTTTACCCACAAGAACTCCCTTCTGATGTTAGGATGAAGATGTAGGTCTCAGAGATCATCCAGATGCCAAACAGGATAACTCTGGTTTTCTACTTATATATGAAAAACACATGTACATGCCAATTCAAGAACATATGAACATACCAACTCAAGTTTTTACAGACTTCACATAAAACTCCTTAACGTTTCACTTTGGAATAAGCTCCATCTGAAGTGCAATTTATGTGATCTGAACAGTTAGCAGCTGTGTCTGTCGTTCTGTTGATGGTACCTTGCCAGTTAATATGCTTCACTGTCCCAAAAACCTGAATCAACTGGCTCAGTCAGCTTCCTCTGCTCTTCTCTTCTCCATTGAACAGTTTCCACAAGCTCCTCTGAGGCTGAAAACAATCTCTCTTTGCATATGGTCTTGTTCTCATTTATTTTCCTCAAAGGAGGAGGTTGGAACGTTATTTATGAAGATAGTCAGTGCCCCCAGGGGTATAATCCCTCACACAGCTTCTGGGAGGGTGAGATCTTATCAGGAGATACTTTCTTTTCAGGAGGATTGGATGCAGAAGCTTACAAGATCTTGGAGCTCCAGCAGTCATTTGCCAATCTAGTGAAGAGCATTCGAAGGGGTTGGACTGGAACATGGCTAATATGAGTCTCAGTATGAGGCTGGGTGACATTCAGGAGAGCTGTGTTTTGTGGAAGCTGTTCAATGCTGTTCCCTTGAGGTAACTCTTTTGGTTCAACTCCACTGGTACTAGAACATGGCACAGCATGGAAAGCCCCGAACATAGAAGTTTTAGTGCTTTTCTGGGGTGTTTGGTAGGGGCTTAGTTGACATTTCTTTAAAGAATTTTGGATATTCTGGTTGCAGACCTGGAAATTTCTCCCATTGGTTACTTTGAAGCTGAGTTCAGCATCCCGGGTAGCTGTATGTGCTGCAGAATACAGATGCCAGTGTTTATTCTCATCAAAATGCTGGCCTGGTGACTGAGTATTAACCATGTGGCCCATTCTCTGCATGTTGAAGACAGCCTGGGGAATTTGATGGAAGCAATGCTCTGTGCTTTGGTCTGCTGGATTCTCACTGAAAGTTGGGTTCTCATCACTGTGCCCAAATGCTGTTTTTGACATTTTATGGACATCCAAGGTCTGACTTTCATCTTCTTCAAGTGGGAAGATAATATTAGGATCTTCTGTGGAAGGTGCTATATGGGACACAAGTTGCCCATTAGATGTCTCACGTAATGGTAGACTATTTTGAGGGCGGTTCAGGGATACTTTTTTGTTTATATGGATGAAACTAGGTCTGCTTGGACGCCTTAGATAGTCACCAGAATGTGTTGTATCCTTCCAGCTCTGCTTCCTCTCTGAAGGTTTCTTGGGAAATTTGAGCAGGAGAGCCTTCCTCTGCTGCTCTTGTCTTTCTCTCTCTCTTCTCTCTTCCTCTGTCTCAATCACTAGCTTAGGACTCTGGGGGTTCTGCGGCTTCCGTGAGTCCCGGTTCTCCTTTCCCATCTTTACACCCAAGGGTTGTGGTGCCTTGGCCCCATCCCAACACTTCATAGGGCACTTCCTGCTTCTTATAGTGTGTCCAAAGGCCCCACAATCTTTGCATTTCATTCCAGGATTCTCTTCTGGTAGGAGAAGTTTCTGCCCCGCTGGTTCTCTCTGTTTAAGAAAATTCTGGCCTCCCATGGTTTTGTCAGGTGAAGTATAAGGATCTGTCTCTTGACCTATCCTTGTGGAGTCTTGTCAGGCTTTCTCAGGTATTGAGGGATTTCCTAAGACCCAGCTGTCTTCCTTCTTTCTGTTAGCAGGTTCTCAGACAGGTGGATGATGGAGACACAGTAAGATATGTGATGAAGTTTTCAGGATGCTGGAGGAAAGGGAAGTCACATTTTCTTTTTTATATCACTGGGCTTTTTCTCCCCCTCTAACCGTTACTTCATATATAAACAAAAATGAATGAAGTTATTATGGAACATTCTAATATGTTTTAATGTATAAACAGTGTTTTTTAGTGACTTCTTCCTTCTGAGGTTCTCATTTTCTTAAAGACTAAGCACATCAAGGATGATGGAACTGACCCAGAGGAATTTCAGTTCCTGGGAAAGTCTAATTATGTAATCTTGGAATAGAAACAATAGATGGTATTTTATAGAACCAACCTCAGCTTACTCTGCAGATGAACATGATATAAAATATACTTCTCAAGCAGGGCATGGCAGCACACATCTTAACCCCAGAACTCAGGAGGCAGAAGCAGATGGATTTCTCAGTTGGAGGCTAGTCTGGTCTAAAGAGCGAGTTCCAGGACAGCCAGAGAAACTGTTTCAATAAACTCTTTCTATATTTCTCCATTTGATTCCAATTTTTATATAGGTAAATATTAATGTTTTTGAAACACCATAGCATATTGCATAATGAGAACTTGTTGTCCATTTGCTACATTTGTGAAATGGAGTTGATTTTTCCCTGATACTGTTTGAAAATAAAAAGCAAAGCAGCCTCTGTTACTTTTCTAATAATCTTCAGAGACTCAATGCTGCATTTACCAGATCAAGGTATAAGTTGCCAGGCTGTTGCAGTCTTCTCTCCAGAACAAACGCATGATTTCAGATAGGCCATGCTTTTTGTGTAACATATATCTCAAAGTTGTTTTTTTTTTTTTTTTTTTTTGCATTGTCTGGAATTGAATGTATGGCATACCATCTACTAACCAAATTTTCTACCATAAAGTTACACTACAAGCCTAGAATATCTCTATTAATGGCTAAAATGACTATACCCAACTTTTTAATTCTATTATATTCAGGGCAAGGGCCAAAGGATCTTGCTGTATGGATTTCTGCTGGAGATCTTTACTATTAAAAGTAGAGGCAGCAGTTTGACAAGTTCCCCAGAATTACCCTATGCTAGACACAACTATGGTGATATTTCCTGAAATTTAAAGATACCATGAGCACTTCTGACAAAAAGAACTAATTTGAAAGTTTTCTTCCTCTTCCCCAGCTCTTCTTTCTTTTAGAAAAGTTTTTTGTTTGTTTGTTTGTTTTTTTTTAATGCAGCTTAGGCTGATCTTGAGCAATAAAGCTTCCTGCCACAGTATGGTGATTACAGAATTGTGCCACCATGCTCAACTTAAATGTACATTTTCAGTTCCAAAGCCCAGCACATATTTTCTAGGTAACCTATAAAATCAGGAAAACCAAAATTGTATTAAAACAAAAATTTGCACCCTACCTTCTGCAGAATTTAAAATTTTAATGCAAAGAAAAGTGATAGTTTTTTTTTTTTTCTGGAGCCTCATATAAGTAGTAAATTTCAAATTTGTTTTAGTGGAGACACTTTGAGACATTGTGCTTAGGAAAAAGCTGCCGGTTCGGTGGGCTGATTAATGGCAACATAATGTATCCTGTATACTTGGAATGCAATTTAGATATCACATAGATGTTAAGAATCAATACTAATATAAAAAATACATTAGGAAACATCACCTTATTTGATGGCTTTAGCATATCTTTCCCACTGAAATACTTGTAACCATGACCATTGTTTTTTAAAAAAATTTTAAACACGATGAACGGTGGAAATGTTTCACCACAAAATCTGAAATAAAGATTAAAAAAAAATTAGTGATGCAGCATCAACTGTGGGTCCCCCCCAATGTTTTTCCCTCATGTACTTAACACAGCTCATACAGTTTTTCAATTACAGGGCATAAAAAGAACATATAGAGATTTAGCAAAAGCAGGGCATGGCAGTGCACGCCTTTTGTACTTAGGAAGACAGAGACAAGCAGATCTCTGTGAGTTTGAGGCCAGCCTGGTCTACAAAGTGAGTCCAGGACAGCCAAGGTTATGCAAAGAAACCCTGTCTTGAAAAACCAAAAACCAAAACGAAAAGAAACAAACAACAGAAAAATAAACTAGCAAAAAAAAAATGGATTCAAAGGTGAAAGTCATAACTATTCTTATACTTATGGATGGGGAAAACATTTACTTTTTAATTTTGTCCTGAGAAATAATCAGGACTAAAAAATAATTTCTATTATTTCTTCTGTGAAATAAATTAGCATACTCACATTACCTGAATCTGACTTTACACTTGATGCTAGGATCTTTTGCAAGTGCAGCCTCTATTGGGCTTACTTTCTTCAGTAATTCATGTGCCACACAATATTCCTGAAATAAATGATGGCATTATAAACAGAAAGTAGTACATCCCTGCTCAGATGTAATTTAGTGATTACAAGAAGGGAAGCATGAACTTTCTTAGTGTTCTGAAGAGGTGGATTTCTATTCTTGACTCTTTCATTTGTCATCTATGTAGCCTTGGGTCTGTTATTTTAATTTAATGGGTCTCTAAATTTGAGTATTCATCCCTTTTGAGATTACAGGCATTGTTCTTTCCCTATGACAATACATTCCCATAATCTATTGCATTTATCTATATAAACTTATCTGTCTCCAGCTAGATTATAAGCACCATGAAGGCAGAGACAGCATCTCTCTTCTTTATTACACCCCTACTGTCTAATACAGTACCTGAAATACACAAGAAACTTAACAAGTGTTTAATGTTGAATGAATCATGGTAATATGGGAATAATAATGGTATTAAGAGACTAGCTCTGGCTGTCCTGGAACTCTGAAACTATTTTTTAAGTATCTTTATTTACCATGAAATATGGTGCTATCATATATATATATATATGTGTGTGTGTGTGTGTGTGTGTGTGTGTGTAATACCTCATTTAATCCTAATAATAACACAATTAGAATATTATCACTCTTATTTTATAAATGAGGAACCTAGGTCTCAAACTTAGATCTGTTTGACTCTAAAATTTCCATTATTTTCCTTAAATAGCCCCATTCAATTTTAGGCCTGTGATAATGCCATAAAATGTATAATGGTGGGATTTTAACAAGATAAAGTATTATTAATGTAAAATATTAATTTGAAGCATTGGAATAAATATGTAAAAGAATAACTGATTAACTTAATTTATTTACTGAGAGTCTAAAATTATGAGGAAAGGAATAACATAATTAAAAAAATGAGTTTTGTATAATAATACAAATAAATCTGTGGATAAGATAGTCAAGAAGTATAAATATTGTTCAGAATTTGTTGTTCAGGGCTGCTAAAGTTCCTCTAATGTAACTATTCTGATAGAAGACTAGTTTCCAGAGAGATTTTTTTTTTTTTTTTGTGGGGAAGGAGAATATATTCAAATACAATTATATTCCTCATACTATTCTGACTTGCCCTTTTTACTAACATGCTATCTTGGTTATCTTTCTATTGTAGAATCATGTTACTATTCCAAGATTTACACATGAAGACACAGACATTTACTTGCATTTATGAACCAAGGCTGCAATAAAATTATATTGTAGAAAATGCTTAGAAGTGGAACTGTTGGGATCAGTGGTTAAAGCATGTACTGCTTTGGCAGGAGACTGTGGTTTGGTTCCCAGCAACCACATGATGGCTCATAATTGCTTGTAACTTCAGTTCCAGAAGATCTTATACTTTCTTCTGGTCTTTGCAGGCTCTTGTACACACATGGTGCACATAAACTCACTCAGGCTCACACACATATAAATAATAAACAAATCCTTTAAAAAAGAAGTAAAAATGCTGGGTAAAAGAAAAGTGCATTTTAAAATTCAGGCTTTTTTTTTTTTTGGAGTGTTAGGGATTACAGTGTTAGGGCCTCACCCACGTTGAATACACATTTTACCACTGAGCTCCAGTGGTAAACTCCAGTCCTTAATCCAGAGATTTTTGTTGTTGTTGTTGTTGGAAGATCACTGTCTCCTATCTTCAAATAAGGACATAAATTCAAAAACTAAAACACAACAACAGTAATACTCATCCACATTAAAAATAAACCCAAAAGGCTGGAGAGATGGGTCAGTAGTTACTGATCTTCCAGAGGACCCAGGTTTGAGTCCTAGCACCCACATTACAACTAGCTCTCACTCCAGTCCCCGGGGATACAATGCCCTCCTTCTGGTCTCCTGAGGCATTGCATGCCATGGTGTGCGTATACCCATGAAGCCAAAACATCCATACACATAAAATAAAAATAAATAAATATAAAAATGCAAAACAAAGGACCAGAAATATCCATTTAAGACTAACAAAAGAAGCATTTTTAGAACTTTACATAAATTATGATATCTAAGTCAAAGAGATAAAGAGCATTATTTGTTGTATCTTTAATTAATAGGTCTTTAATTAGTTAAGGAATAATATCCGTCAAAGGCAAAAAAAATACATACCGCTGCACAAATTGCATGTTTTAGGAGTTTAAACAATGTTTTGTCCACATAAATGAACCAGGCTTTCTGTATTTTTATTGCTGAAATCTCTCTAATAATTATAAAATAAAAAAGGGGTTGGTTATTCATGAAGTACTTTTCATTTTCCTAAAATCTTAGACAACTCTCAATTTTTGCATCTTCTTATATTATCTATTATTAAGACTGACCTAATAAGGAACATTTGGATGGAGTAATAGGAACTAGTCCTTTATAGGCTCTAATCAGAATGAGAATATAGAATAATTAATATTTCCTTGAGATTAAAAAAAAACTTAAAACTTTATCAAGACCCAAACATAAAGCTAGGCACAGTGGCATATTCTTATGATCCCAGCACTTAGCAAGTAGAGGCAGGAGGATCAAGAGTTCCAGACCAGCTTGACCACACAGTGAATTTGAGCTTGAGGATATGGTCCTGGTCTCTCTCTTTCTGAGACAGTGTCTCATTTAAACCCGACTGGCTTTGAAGAGCTGATATACAGCTGAGGATGACCTTAAAGTTCTGATTCTCCTGCCTCTAACTTCTTAGTGCTGGGATTATACCATGCCTGGTTTTATGTAATGACGGAAATTAAACCAAAGACTTTGTACATATTAGGTAACAACTTTACTAAGTAAGAATATTCTTAGTCAGAGATCCTGGGATTTAATTTCTACTACTACTGGGGGTTGGGGTGGGAAAGGAGAGAAAAAAGAAAGGTAAGGGAAGAAGAGGGAGGATAGAAGGAAAAGGGAGGGAGAAAGAAAGAATGTGAATAAATAGAAGTTGTGAGAAGAAAAATTTGCCTTCTAAAAACATTCATGGGGCTGGTGAAATAGCTTTGTAGGTAAAGAATGAGAACCTGTAAAGAATGAGAACCTGAGTTCAATAGCCTGAACCCATATAAAAGGATGTGTTTGAAAATGTGTGTAATTTCAGCACTAGGGAAGTGGGAAGCAGGTGGATCCCTGAGGCTCCTTTAGCCTAGGAGAATTCACTAATCTTGTTAGTGAATTCCAGGCCAATTAATAAGCCTTTCTCAAAAGAGAAGGGGAAAGTACCGCGGAAATGGCTCAGTTGATAGAGAGATAGCTGTGCAAGCATGAGACCTATGTAAAAATTGGCTGCTGTAGTCCACTTCTGTAATCACAGCACTAGGTGGGGTAGGTGCAGACAGGAGGATTCCAGTTGCTTTCTGGCCAGTCTAGCTAAAATCGTACCCTCCAGATGCAGTGAAAGACCCTGTCCAAAAAAATAAATAAATAAAGAGGAGAGTGATAGAGAAAGACACTCAGGTCTACCTCTGACTTCTATCTGTATGTGCATATATCAGGTGAGTGTACCTGTGAACAAATGTACATACTCTACCACACAGCTACAGAACTACTGAGGAAGCTCTCTGGCCTTCACACATATATACTCATGTGCATGTACACCTGCATAAACTTGCACAAACATGCATGAACTTGCACATACACCACAGCACATACAACAATTCAGTTACAGTCAGGTTTAAAAATTTTCTTTAGACAGAGTCTCACTACAGAAATTGGCATGTAGTCCAGGCTGGCCTCAGACTCCAGATCCTCCTGTCTCAGGTTCCTTAGTGCTAGTTCCTAAAAGCACTGTCTGACTGTAGTGAAAAGTTTGAAATTTTGGTTTCTTTAAAAAACACAGAAATATTATAAGAATATGTTTTTGTTTTAATCCCATGTATGGGACATGGGGCTGCTTCGTAGTAGCTATTTATAATTTGCCTCATGCTCCAGCAGGTATATGATTTTGCTAGCTGCAGCTTCTGAAACTGTGTGACATTTGGAATTCTGAGAAATTTTCAGAGGGTATATACACCCTAGGCCCTGAGAGTTGTGTGGGTTGTTGTTGGTTGTGGTTTGTAAAGTACTCGTGCGCAAAGGAGAAACAAGAAGAAATTAGATATCTTGACAGAGAAGATCAAACTTGTTCCAAGGAATTTAACACTCCTAATCTGCAGGAAGTAGTCTAACAATAACATCACCCACTTTCAGACCCCTGACTTTGTTCAGGGATCTGTTTCTTTTCTTCTCTCTTATCTAGTATTAGGGGTTGAAAGGGTGGAAGAAAGAATAACACACAAAATAGCTACCTGCAGGCTACACCTAACAGATTTAAGTGCAATGGAAATGCAATCTATCATAGTTGAGTTTACACAAGACCCCATTCCTTTCCTAGGAGCTATGACTATGTCCTAGAAAAAGAAATTCCCTTTTTTGACCTTTGCTCAAACCATGTTCATTCCTGCCAAGTTAGAGAAATACTTTACTTTAGATAATAAGCCAGTACTAACTGATTTCACAGGTCTCTCCTCCAGTGCTCTCCCACCCAATCAGTATCTCTTAAAGGACTGTATGCAAAGAGAGGGGCATCTGTACAATGTCACCACTGGCTGGCAAAATGTGGACTACAGGATGTAGAAAAGAAAAGGCCTGAGAAGGTATGGGGAAAGAACTTGCTAAAAGCTTATCATGGAAGCATGAGGAACTGCATTTGATCCCTAGAGCCCACATAAAAATGCCTGGCATCGTGGCATGTGTTTGTAATCCCAGTGCTGAGGAGGTGGAGACAATATGATGCCTGGAGCTTGCTAGTCAGTTTAGCCTAACTGGTAAACTCTAGGCCAATGAGAGAGCTTGCTTGTCTCAAAGGAGTTGAATGGCATTTCTGAGGACAGCACCCAAAGTGGTCACATGCGTACACACATTTAAAAAAAAAATAGAAAAGGCATGGTGGTACATACCTTTAGTGCCAGCACTGAGTACAGAGGCAGGCAAATCTTTGTGAGTTCCAGGCCAGCCAGGAACACAAAATAAACAACAACAACAACAACAAAAAAACAAAAAACAAAAAACAAACAAACAAAACCCAACCAAACAAAACAAACTCAGAGCATCCCAGACAACAGAAATAAACCTTTTGCATTCTAGTTGATGTCATTTATTCTCTGGTTTAACTTTCTGAAAGTCATTTAACTACTCAGTTGCTTTCCCCTCACTTTTAAAAAGATTTAAAATATTTTAATTATGTGTATGTGTGTGTCTGCATATGGGTCTGTGTATTTGAGTACAGGTTCCCACAGAGGCCAGAGGTGTTGGATCCTGTGGAGCTGCAATTACAGGGTATTGTGAGCCACCTAATGTGGGTGCTGGAAACAGAACTTGTCCTCAGGAAGTTGCTCGTAATCACCAAGCCAGTCCTTTCTCACTTATAGTGTGTAATAATAAAACTGTTTCAGAAGGTTGTAATATAGTCAAGCAGATATGTTAACATGCTTTGTAAATTACAAAATTCTAAAGTTATAATATTCAAATCGAATGTAATTTTTAAAAACATAAAATTTTAATTTACACATTAATAAATGTTTCGTTATCTGAGTAAACTTTGTTAAGTTTAGCCAGTATAGTGCACACCTTTAGTCCTAGCACTCAGGAGGAAGAGGCAGGTGGATCTCTGTGAGCTTGAAGCCAACCTGGTTTACAGGAGTTTCAGGACAGCCAGGGCGACACAGAGAAACCTTGTCTTGAATAAAACAAAACAAAAAGCCCCACAAAACCCAAACCAATAAAAAAGTGCATAAATTTGTAATTTGTCTAAGTTGTGGGAAAACAACAAAAGGCAAAAAGATGGCTTCTTACTCTTTTCTTGCCTTTATCTTTGCAGCACGTGCCGAATGTGTCTTGTGGATTTTTTCTGAGAGCTGACTATCTGGTTTTGGAGCACCAGTATTTGAGGACTTTTTCATTTTCCCTACAAAGAAGTAATCTGAACACACATACATTAAGCTTTAAAGGTTATAATCCCCACATTATTACATTTGAACTAGACTCAAATGTCATATGTTGTTTCAATTTTAGAACTCTTTTTAAAGGAGTTCTTTACTGTACTTTTAGTATTGTTTCCAATTAGCATTCTTCCCATACTAAAATACCCTGTAGTATGTCAGAAAGACAGCCGATCTATCCATAACCTCCTAACCGGCCACTCCTTTCTCCTATTTTTCCCTCCTATTCACCCTACAGCTCAAGGTAACTTTTTTTTTTTTTGGTAGCTGAGGCTGGCCTCAAATTCATTATATAGCAGATAGTAGCCTTAAACTGATTCTCCTGCCCCAACGTCCCTTGTGCTGGGATTACAGATGTTCTCGACCACACATAGCTCTTGAAGTTAACTTTTTGGAGCAATAATTTAGGGATAGTCATTCTCCTCAAAAACTCCTTAATGGCAGGGGGTACTTTGGTGACTGTGGAAATCAGGTGGAAGGTTTTTACACATTTTCTGAAGAATTTTTTTTGTCCAGTTTTTATCACACACTTCTGAGACTTTGAGCAAATTACTTCACCTCTTTGCGCTTCAGTGACCATTTGGTGATGTGAGCAAGCACATATGAAATTACTTGATTCTACCTGTAACTTTTTACTGTTTGAAGTATTATATTCCAGTTTGGAGGTAGCACCCAACAATTCTTAGTCATATCTTCAAAATACCTTTTAAAAGGAAATTGCAGTAATACATGTCTTCTTTATGCATAACATAAAAATCTAATATCTATTGTATTTTTGTAGTAATAAGCATAAGTGATATTTTTAGTTGCTGTGACTGTAAATGGTATGAAAATATCTCTGCTTTCTATTGGTGACACAAGCACTGCTAATACTGAGGGTTGTTGCCTACACTGTACTTGGAAGAAATGCTAAAGTTCAGTTAGAGTTTAATGAAGGTGAAGTTGTCATTTCCCTCTTTTCCTAGTTTACACAGTCCCCCCCTGTGCCCCCTCCCCGTGCATTAAGAGCTTTGGCTGTAATTTATCAGTACGCTTCACACTTTTAAGATGTTACCTTACTGATGTAGAGACTTCAGAGTCTATTCAGTATTTCGCTTTAGGGACTGGAGATGGGGATGGCTTGGAACATACAGTTCTGTTGAGAAGGAAAAAAAAAAAGCCACCCTTAACATTTGGGAGTTGGTCTGTCACTCTGGCTGAAAGTTGCTAACACTGCAAAGTCCTGCTTTAAACAGCAAACAAACAAACAAACAAATAAACAAACTTTGACCACAAATCACAAAGCCAAAGTTCAAATATTACGACAAACCTAACACCTTCTTACCGAAATGCTCAATTTTGTCCCAGAGGGCTTTTTTTTTTTCCCTCAGGAGCAGCAAATTAAAAAACCAAAACAAAAACCAAAACAAAAAACAACAAAAAACAAAAAACAAAACAAAACAAAACAAAAAAACAAAAGCCAAAACAAACAAACAAACAAAAAACAAAAAACACCCTAATTTCTTCAAGGGCAGGTATGTTCCTAGCAGTATTTGCGTAAGAGGACAGTGACCTTCCGTTGAACAAATGGATGTCCACGGGGCTTCCATTTTCTGTCGAATTAGGACAGAAATACAGAACGAAATACGAAATGCACCGTCTTTAAGGGTCCGGCTAGCGTTAGCTGAGGCTAGAGCAGAGATTTCAAAGGCAGACTACCTGGAATTGGATCCTAGGTTTAGATTTTCCAAAGCCTTGGACACTCAGAAATGAGAATCACGCCCGTCGACTTGTATGAGAGAAATAAAATTATGCGTTTAAACCAGTGTTAATACTTGTTTTTTTCTTGCGAATAGCCAAATATTGCAGTTTTGCTTCTACAAGTATTAAACGGGAGAAATATTTGATTCTCAGATTTACACTGTAATACCTTAAAAAAGAAAAAAAAGTCAGTTTTTCGCGATTAAATAACGTGGTACATTTAGTTTAAACTTAAAACTTAAGGAACGTTCAGCCCACGGTATTTTTTTTTAAGGAAAAAAACCTTTTGTGAGGTAAATCCGTGCCCCACAGTCGATATGCCGCTTCTTCTTTCGACGAGGCTGGTGCAGCCTCTTCGGGTCGGTGAAGCGCCACCGCTTGGCCGCCTCAGCTCACAGGATTCCAACCTGCACCGGGATGCCCAGGGGTGAAGGCTAAAGCCGGTTCCCAAGCGCGACACGGCGTCCAAGAGCCGCCCTCCTCTTACCACAGCGTGCCGCCCACACAGAGCGGCTGCCTTCTGCAGCCTAGCAACAGCCGCCAAGGCGGCAGGATTGATGAGGAGGCGGGGCTTGAGTTCCTCAGGCTCCCGTGCGCGTGAGCCCTTTTCTGTCGCTAAAGCGACATAAAGCGCCACCTAGTGGCGTCTAGGTCGAGCTTTTGGCGGGTTGAGGTGGCGGCGGCGGCGGCGGCGGCGGTGGCGGCTTCGCTATCTCGCGCGCCGCAGCAACAACCGCGGTCATTGGAATTATGATCTGACCAGGCCTCCGTCGTCGCTTTTCTGTTCTGGGCGGGGCTAAGGGAGGGGTGACCCTGCCGGAGTCGCGGCTGCCAGCGACATGTTCAAGGTGAGAACTTGGAGCTGGGTCACAGCTGTCTCGGCCACCGGGAGCCCTTCCCACGCTTCCGAGGTGCCTCTTGGGGGAGCAGACTCGGTTCGTCCCGAGACTATGCCCCTCTCCGGGATGACCAAGTCCCGGGTGGGCGGTTCATTCACCGCTTGGTACCGGCACCTCGGTGGGTGGGATTGGCCCTTCGAGTTCTCTAACGAATGAAACAGTTTGAAATGTTAAAAAGCCTCTATCGTACCCACTTCCTCGGGTAATGCCCTTTTGGGGTCGTGGGTAGGATGAGGCCAGGCCTGGATACTTCAGCGTCCATGGCTTTGGTTGCTTGGCAGGATCACGTTTCAGAACCTGGCTTGTTGGTGGGGGAGGGTCAGCTTCGGAGGGTGTCGGGGAGGCTGGCTTGGGAATGTCTGCGTGTTTGGGGGAGCTGGAGCTTTTTAGTATGGAGAAGTCGACTTTTCTCCCCTTCCTTACAGTTTTTTTTAACTCCTTTCCTCCGTAAGATATTTACAGTGAAGACTTTCAAAAACCTGTATTTTATCATAAAATTATTCTTTCGTAAAAGCCAGTTATATTTTGTCACAAAAAATCACAGGCTGTGCACTCCTTTAAGCACAGCACTCAGGAGGCAGCCAGCGGCAGATGTATCTCTGTGAGGTCGAGGACTGCCTGGTTTACATAGCGGTTTCCAGGACAACCGGTGTTCCATGAAGAGTGTGTTAATAATCACAGGCAGCCAGAAAGCTACAAAAATCACGTCTCCATGAAGCGTAATATTCACAGAATAGTGCTAATGAAACCTCAAGATTGTGTTATCCATTTAAAAGTTTACTGCAGCCGCAGCGTTTTAGGGCTGCAAAATAAGACCATAGTTTCTGCCTCCCAGTGCTGTGGTATTTTTGCCGGTTTCTAGCTATAAGGTAATGGGTGTGTCGCTTAACTACACTTAACTGCCTTCCCCCCCACCCTCATAGTGAAATTAGGGTAGTAAAATCGAATTGTTAAGTACGGAGAATTATGTCACTAAACCCAGAGGAAGGATGGAGACAGTGTCATCAAACTCCTGGCTCTTCTGGGTTTACTATGACATTGTCAGTTTTCCTTACGGTTTCAAGCTGACTGCTAGGAACTCGGGGAAGAGGAGAGGATAAAAGTCCCACACTTGGAATTTTTTCTTCAGGTTTGATTGGACAAACATGGGTCAGTTGTCTGTCCATAGCCCAATAGCAGTTACCAGGGGAATGTTGGTCTCTGGTTAGCTTAGGCTAAACAAGGTCACTTTGCTTAAACATAGAAAAGGAATGGTTTCATGAACACAGTAGGGTTCTTTAGAAAGGAAGAAGTGTAATGGAAACTGGATCTGCAGCCAACAATGCCCATGTCAGGTATATTTAGGTAAGTGTGTGCAAATATTCGTTGACTTGGGCTCTTTGAAAATCTTTCATGATCCTGATACACGTAAATTTATTGATGGAAATGAAACATTAGCATAAGTTCATGCCAAAATTTTTTTTTATTTTTTTTTAATAGGAGGGAGAGAGAGGGAAGGAAAAATGTGACTGTAGAACAGTGGTTCTCAACTGACTGGTACTACCCCTTTGGATATGTTTTGGAAATTCTAAGGGTTCTTTGAGTTTTTAGTTGTGTTGAACATTTGTATTATTTTTTATTTTATGTGTACTAATGTTTTGCCTGCATGTATGTCTGTATACAACATACTTGCCTGGTACCCACAGAGGCCAGAAGAGGAATATGATCCCCTGGAACTGGAGTTACAAATGGTTGTCAGATACCATGTGGGTGCTGGGAATGGAACCTGGGTCCTCTTCTGTCAGCACTGGGCCCCCATCTGGTACAGACCCATGCAGACCCTGTGCACGATGCCACAGTCTCTGTGAGTTTATCTGTGTGTCTGTCATGCTTTGTTTAGAAAGCCTTGTTTCCTTGGTATCTACAATCCACTTTGGCTGTTACAATCTTTCCTCCCTCTTTTCTTTTTGTTTTCTTTTTTTTAGAATTCATTTTTACTTTATGTGCATTCGTATTTTGTCTTTATATCTGTGTGAGGGTGTCAGATTCCCTGGAACTGGAGTTTCAGACAGTTGTGAGCTGCCATGCAGGTGCTGGGAATCAAACCCAGGCCTCTGGAAGAGGAACCAGTGTCTTAACCACTGAACTATCTCTCCAGCCCCTCCTCCCCCTTTTCTACAGGGTTCCCTGAGCCCTGAGGGGAGGAGGGATTTGATGGAGACATCTCATTTAGGATTGAGTGTTCCAAGGTCTGTCACTTTCTGCTTATTGTCCACTTGTGGGTATTTGTCTTCCATGTGCTGTAGGAAAAAGCTTCTCTGATCGTGGTTATGCAAGACTCTG